GATATCACTTCTATTTAGAGCCAGCTGTCCTGGAATACATTATGTGAACTTTGGAAAAAAGCTTTTTCAATTTCGGCGTTCTCAGTAGATGTTATTACAGCGAAAGAAAGCTATGATGTCTTCTTGAAATAGGCAGAGAGCCTCTGGTGGCTTACCTCTTCCCTCTTATAGTTTAGGATACATGTCCACGAGGACAGGAAAAATTGAAGAGTCTCCTGAAGTTGCTCTGATTTCACTCATAGTCTTTGCATGTTCATAGTAAGACGAGGAAAAGACCAAAATATTAGCGGAACCGCAAAGAAGAAAAAGAATTGTGGCGACATAGTGCTACTAGGACAACTAGGAACCCCATTTTCCTTTGGCAAGTTATGTTAGAATTTATGAGTTAGAGGGATCTGAAGTTTTTCCACCCGAGGTATGTACTGCTTACTCATCCCCAACTCGACTAAATCCCCTAGTTCTGAACTACGCCTTTACTTATCGAGGAAAATTTGAAAACTACGATGAACAGCTTCGCGTCAAGGTTCATCAGAGCACTTCAGGCTCCTTGAACCTACAGGCTCTTGGCCATTTCCCCGAATGTTGGAACAGTGCCAGAAACGCTACCCCATCGACGCAGTAGATGATTTTTCTTGACTTCCAGGGACATTTATTTTGCGAACATAGTCAAAAGTTGCATACTGGAAGAATCAGCCACCACGTAAAAGGATAGATGTACTTCATCATAGTGACTTACAAATTCTTAGAAATACGAAAGCCAATTTTAGTTTTCGAACAATTACTTAAAATTACTAGCATTTTCCTTTCTTGGTTGCCCTTGACTATAAAAGCTTTTCAAGGGAGTGGAGTAAACAAGGTCNAATCAGCCACCACGTAAAAGGATAGATGTACTTCATCATAGTGACTTACAAATTCTTAGAAATACGAAAGTCAATTTTAGTTTTCGAATAATTACTTAAAATTACTAGCATTTTCCTTTCTTGGTTGTCCTTGACTATAAAAGCTTTTCAAGGGAGTGGAGTAAACAAGGTCGGTATAATGCGTGATGTCCCAAGGGAAATTGTGATGATTGGGGTGGTGTATCTACGAGCAGGCTATCTATTAAAATTCTCAGAAAGTGCAATGTTACGCGAAAATACTTTACTTTACCCAACAAATAAAGTTTTCTGGGGATCTTTCCGCAAATGGGGAGTCCCCAGTAAGCGCCTAATAACAACAACCTGAAAATCATTCGAATAGTACGAGAAAGAGTAGTTTTCTACCGGTTGAACCTNCCCAACAAATAAAGTTTTCTGGGGATCTTTCCGCAAATGGGGAGTCCCCAGTAAGCGTCTAATAACAACAACCTGAAAATCATTCTAATAGTACGAGAAAGAGTAGTTTTCTACCGGTTGAACCTAACATCTTCAAGAGGAATTAATTAGCGGTTCTCCGGGGTAGAAGTTAGAAAAATAAACTTTTTCGAGTGACATTAAGAGGAAGAGGACACCATTGAGCGCCAGGGCAATGCCAAAATTACGGTGGGAGATGGCCAAAGTGATCGTAACTACATAGTTTCACCAAATTGCTCACATCTGTGGCCATAGTCGGCTTACATGAGCAGAGCAAAGGCGATTGCTCCGGTCTTCAAAGCCGTAGAGAGTCTGTCAGCTATCCGCATCCTTCAAGGGCATCTTACGCTTCTCGACCTTTGAAGTAACTCGAGCGAACGAAATTGAATAAGTTAACCGGAAGGAAAAAGTATCGAATTAGACATCACCGCCTCGAGTAGATACTATTGTTGGGGTAGGGGGGGGGCTGAATAAAAATCTTCAAAAAGGTTGAATTAAAAGCACATTTCAGTCCAGGCATTGACAACGATTTGGTTACTCGAATTTAGGAGATAAAGCTTATAGTTCAGTTCAAAAAATCCAGCCTAATTATGTCTTCTCATGCGCACCCTAACTTCTTTGCTGTTCTCATTTTTCCCTTTGAGGCGATAGGTTCCACAAATACGTAAACATAAAGCTGAATCGAGCAGCGAAAATGTTTCTTTGTGTGGTAACTCACGTGAGCCCNTCGAATTTAGGAGATAAAGCTTATAGTTCAGTTCAAAAAATCCAGCCCAATTATGTCTTCTCATGCGCACCCTAACTTCTTTGCTGTTCTCATTTTTCCCTTTGAGGCGATAGTTTCCACAAATACGTAAACATAAAGCTGAATCGAGCAGCGAAAATGTTTCTTTGTGTGGTAACTCACGTGAACCCAACGAACGCACATCCCTTGGGGATAGGAACCAATCTGTCGTCACATGTTTCGCATTTGTTCGATTTAGGGCCCGAGTTAATCTAAATCCAGCCCGTCTGCCCCCGTAGCCATTTGTTGAGTAAATAAAGAGAACTGATCCCCAGGAAGAGGATAGAAGATGGTACTCAAACTCGAAAGTTTTTGATAATGTGTCAATAAATTTTTCCAAATTTGACGAGTAAATTGAGCAATTTGCCTCTTCTTTTCTTTCTTTCTTCATTGGTAATGCATTAACCCAAGTCATGCCGAAGGTTGGCACTTTATGAGCTCAAGTTCTGACTTGCTCTGCTTCGTCGAAGCACTGGAGCACAATTTCTTCCGGCATGAGGGTTCCATTATGTGCAAGAAGGTTTGCATATTATGTCTTCCCCGTTCACTATCAAATTACCATTTCAGTGGGTGAATTACGGTATTCTTGAAGGAACGTCACTGCCCAGAGCTGCAGCACGTTTGGTTGTATAACATTTGAAGTGCAGTAGTGGAGAAGTAGAGCCCGTCGCAGTCATTGCTCCTCTTCCGCAGTTTGGGCCAGGGTCCTTTGAACTGCGCGGGGATGAAGGGTATTGACAAATTCGCTGAGTTCGCTTGCATGCGGCAGGCCTACGCAGCTTCGACACGGCACCTCCTGACCCATAACATCCTCCTCCCCCCGGCCGAACAGATTTGACCTAACGGTCTATAGCGCAGCACTAAGTCCGCCATTGGTTTGCGGAATCTTTTCCAAATAAGAACATTTATCACTTCTGCCCTGGTATAACTAAGAGCAATAAACCCCTGACTAATTGGATGACGAACATTTTTACTAACCGATGAATATGCAACGGAAACCGGAGTTAGAACAATGGTGGTCATTATACTCTGAGATAGCCACCTTAGATCTGAGATATGCTTCCATTCTTCCCAGATCTAAGAGCAGTAACGTTTATTTTTAGCAAGTAAGTACGGTGAGTAGTGAGCTTCGAATTCTCAGTCACATACTACCCAAATGGATGTGTTTCTTAGGGTAACCTAATTGTGACAGCCAAGGGCCGTAGAATGTCGTCGAAACCATCGAGGACTGTGACAGAGAGGAGCGTGGTATGTTTCCGTAATTGAATACACTGGTGCTAGCACTCGTTTCACTCGAAGGGCTACAGAGAAGTATGCCAAGCTAAATCACGTCTTGACTCAAAGTTCAAGGAGGCGAAAATCGTAGACCAAAGACTCCACTGCTCGGAAATTTGTCAAAAATGGTTTTTTCTGAAAAACCGTGGGCTTATATTCCACTCTCATTGAATTTTTGGGAAAAAACCGATTGTTCCTGAGATATGAGTTGAACTCGTTTATACTATGCAGAAGTGAAGAATCAGCGATAGGCAAATTGAATCGAACGCTCGTGTTGCTTTGTGAAGAAATTTGTCAAGAGAAAAGAAAATGAATAAAGAAGCGCATGTGCATCAGTCCTGATCCCAAGAAATCGATGTTCAAACTTTATTCCGCAGATCCTCCAATTAGCTGTTCCTTCCCAATCTCACAAAATGCCTATCGATTTTGCATCTGAATCGCTCCGCCGACCTCAAACCTTCCCAGTCAACCGCGAACAACGATTGATTTCGCAAAGCTGTCATCGAATTTCCCTCGAGATTATCACATAGGAAAGGTTATTGAACGCTCGCGTCCCATAGATCGCGTCTCGATTCGACAATAGCTTATTTCGACTCTCAGGATACCAATGTATTCATCTTGGTAGGACCTGGCTCAAGCGAACGTTCCCGTGTAGGCAAATTTCGTGCCTACGATTACAGTCCAGGCAGTCGTTGGCCTTGCAGGAGCGGGTGTGGTGCAGTAGGAACAAAATTGTCACGTCGCGGCAAGAGACGCGCCGCGCGCGAAGGAATGTAGCAGAATGCAGCACCAAATAAGAAGTTCAGGAACAAAAGAACTAAAAGTAGAATCATGCCATAAGTAATAATTGCATAGCGATTGAGCTGTACGAAGAACGCTAGAACTGTTATAACGAGGCAAATGGTCCTCGACAGCCGCGTGCGGCGGATCGATTACATAAAACCGTTCCTACTGCCCCTCTCCCTGCAGGAGCGGCTACGAGTGTGCGTAGTGAGTGCGACAGCTTCGCTTCACTCAAAGCTCGTGGCGGTCTTAGTTAGCTGTCTCGCCGAGCGCCATATCGTCCCTGTCCGCCCTGATCAGTTGTCTCGCCGCGCGCCATGTCTTTCCGATTGGTACTGCTTCTCGCTGAGCCACCATTGAAATGCTGAGGGGTGCAGATATCACAAACTGTTATCTAGCCCACCGCTAACGTTCAATACTGATAACTCCGTAAATTCCATACTAAATAATTCGAGATTTCGTCAAATAAAACTTAGTGAGGTGTATAATCAGGGTCTTCTGAAGTACCTTACATTTAGTTGTCAACAACATCCAAATCTTCTGCCACAACTCGATCGTCGGCTTCCACCAGCAGTCCTACGCCACCGTCTGGCACGTGAGTATGCTTAGTGATACACTTGCGATGAAAACAACATAAGATCTTTCAGAAAAGCGCAGTCGCCTGTCCCAGTTTTCTCAGAGTCGGGGAAGGGTATTGTTGATACTGTGAGCTACTTCTCATTATTTTACCTTCTACCGAGAAGGCGTTTTTCCAGAAAATTCAGGGTGAATCAAAGCGACGACAAAACATAAAACGATTTTTCTTCCGCATCAAGGAAAGTATTGGAATGGTGGAAAAGACAGAAATATCAAAGGCGTTCACAGAGTCACTGACCCATATGGATAAGTACAAGGTACGCCATTTTACCTCTTTCGAGTCCTTTACAAGAATAAAGCGTGGATATACACCAGAGCAGGATTGACTGAGGCAAACATCTATCTTCCCATCCTTTCCACCCTCAGAAGATGAAGAACGATCCAGAAAATTGCCAGTCAACGTGGTCTATTTCCATCTCTCCATGATGGTCTCCTGCGTACAGGTCTTTGAAAACGATGGCGATGCGATGCTTGATGACGACTAAATATTTCCACAATGCGCCATGAATAGGACTTCCATTCAGAATAAACAGTGATAAGGGGCGAATGTTCCCTCAACAGAAAGGTTCAATGTACACCATACTTCATTTTCTCGGTGCATACGATCGTTACTAAATATACCATCTGGAAATACATCGCTTTGTGGGCAAGTAATCGGACTGGAATTTTTTTCCCGAACCGAAAGTGTGGAAGTGTCGAAATTATTCCATTCTAGCAGCATCAGACAATCTTTTGTACCCAATCGAAGTAGCTCTACTAATACTTTGAAAATAGCTTTAAATTCCCAATAGCACCCTATGCTTACATTATTATATTTATAGCTATGCCTCGACACTGTCTTCGAAGCTCTCTGTGCTGTAATCCAGGAAAATCCTTCATTTCGGATAGGGGTAAGGCTGCCCTAAGACCTTCATGATATGCACTTTGGTGATGTCCAGCTGCTGTAAGTTGCAGGATGAAATTCCGTGGCCTTGACAACAATAAGAGACACAGTCACCAAATCTTCACTTAGAAAGAATAATAAAATAGACAATTATGTGGAGTGCATTATGAGTGCTGTCGAACAACCATGGCGAAGAGTAAATAGAAGTAGTGAAGAAGGACAAATGAGAGCGAGACGAAAATTTCAGAGGATTATGTGGGGTTAGAGAGGAAATCATGTATAAACGAATGAAAGCCACGTAACCGCGCAGAGGAGGAAGATGCTTGAAAACAGGAATCAATGGCAGAATAGTAAACAAACTAGTCAGAAGAAAAACGAAGTTTGATAAAGGGAGACAGTGAGATTGGGATGGAGCCCATACAGTGACATACAGTGATGGAAAGAGCAGAACAAGTAATACAGAGAAAATGTGGCATTAAAATAAGAGAGAGATGAATTTAGAATAAAATAAAACTTTTTGTAAATATTAAAAGCTATGACAGAAGGAATCGGTTGAAGGAGGTAACCACTAGAGCGTAGGTCATGCATCCTATTTCTGAATGAATAGCAAAAGCCCATTCCCTTTCTATAAGATCTCTTACTTTTAACCTACAGGA